TTTGACCAATCCCTCACCATTGGGTCAACATATAAGTTAAATAAAGTCTATATGAGAACTTTAGAGTACTGTGGCTCCATGTCCAAGTCCATCAGTCCATGTTGAATGTTGATGTTCATATTTTTGGTATCTGAATGCTGTTTATGCAATGTTTAAATTAACGACAACCCTTTCATACAACATTGCACTTCACAAAAATATATTGATAATTTCATATATATGAGCTAGAGAAAAAAAACTCACATATAAAGTTGCCAAGTTCCAGCTGGAGTTCAGGTCTACAGAATCGAATCTTCAGATTGCCAGAAATTCTCACTCCTTCGGGTGTCTTTTCTCATTTTCGCCGTCAAAAATGGTATTCGTTCAATTCCCTTTCGCTAAGAAGACGCAGTGTGCCATTTATTTGCAAAATTCGTGCAGAAAATGAAGATTGATCGGTTACTGCGCTTAAAATCGCCGTTTTACTGCCAAAATTTTGCATTTCCCTATCTTTTTCCTGATAAAACATGTGCATGACACTTGTTGCAAGTTCACATAAACAACAGTTTTAAAAATAGCTAGTCAAGGCGAGAATTAATATAAAGGTCAAACGCACGTAACAAATTCCATTATCGATTTCTTCGAATTTCTTTTCTTTTATGCTTTATGGCAGAAAATAAATCAAACAAACAGTATTTTGAAAGGGCTTCATCAAAATCTCGAATTTTGGATACACACGACGCTGAAAGAACAGCCAAACTAGTCATGTATTCGAAAGCTTGTTGTTGACAGCCAAGATGTTCTGCCAAATTGCTTCGCCGGCAAAAGTCTTATTTCTAATATCAGGTCCTACCGGCGTTGCTTTCTGAGCTACATCGCCTTCTTCGTGGTATGATTGAGAATTTACAGTCAATTTCAGCTGACTTTTCATCGTAAGATTCCGAACTTCGTTCCGAACTTCGCAAATTCGTTGCCAAGTTCAAAAGTTCATAATGAAATTCACAAACAGGTTTGTAAACAAAGCCTCTGATTGGCAATTAAATCAAACCAGCCAATCAAATGCCCAGTTTACAAACCTGTTTGTGAATTTCATTATGAACTTTTGAACTTGGCAACGAATTTGCGAAGTTCGGAACGAAGTTCGGAATCTTACGATGAAAAGTCAGCTGAAATTGACTGTAATTGTTGCTGTTATTAGCCCGTTAGTCGTTAGAGTATATCCGCGTCCAGCAAGTTGAGACCACTGAGCTATACTATATTACTGGAGGACCTGCTCGGCATCAACAAGTGAAGCCGAAAACATGGCGATCTTACGCCATTGCCATGACAACACTTCCGAAATTTTCATGGTAACTGCCACTGACCAACCGCGATCCTAAGCTTCCGACGATGTCCTTAACCCCCCTGGTTTTTGCACAGAAATATTAAAGATATTTCAAGTTTTCTGTTGTTTTTGAGCTAAGGAATCTTAATATTTCCATCGCACATTACTTGTTTTACAACGCGGAGGAAGGATGCGGTTTGGTTCGCTTGTGGATGCAGCACTTCACTGCAAAGAAACACTAATTCTTTCAGGTAAGATTCACGAAACTTTTTTTAACTTTCTAGGGACTTGCATTGTCATATCACTCGAGATATTTATATGATCACTGACATGTCAAAAACTCATCATCCTAATATATACAGCAAATATTTCAATAGCAGACATACAAATATTGTTAATGAGTAGATACTGTGTGCATGAAATTATGTTGTTTTGTGTCAGCACTGGTCTTTGTGGTTTTATTGCCAGACTGCCAGTTTTTAATACTTGTAATTTATATTGTGGTTGTTTTTACATGTTTATATGGTGTGCAATTTTTATACTTGCCCATCATATAGTGCAGGATTAATATATATAGACAAGCACAAAATCACGAGACCAGAAATATTTGAGTAGAGGAGGCCCACCTACGTGTGTCAATATATGCCTGTCCTGATGAGCCCTGGAGACTGTCTTTTTTGTTTTACACTGTCTGTGTACGGCCAGACGATTTTCAGGGGAGACTGCTCACTGCTGCCACTCAGTGGGTAAATTTACTATCTGCCCATGAGCATGCAGCCCCTGAGATATACGTCAGCCCATTAAGCAGCAATGTGCCCAAATGAACCCAGGCATTCTTATTTTACTCAAAGGGAAGGGTCTTGGGGTAGAAAATAGATACTCACTTTGCCATTGTCTGTTCAGAACCACATACACAGTATGATGTGATAGTTACATGGCAATTTATAGAAAAAAATGTTGCCCACAAGCTGTTGGGATAAGTGATCACTATTGATGCACTATATAACTAGGTAATTAATTCAGAATATGCTACGTACAACATTTCTAACATTGGAAGAGGTGATGTCTGATTGGTCTGTGAGAAACTATGATGAAATTTGCTAATAATAGAATTCCATTCCTGAATATGGAAACATGACACTTCATTTTGAAGCTTGGGATCATTATGGTTTTGGTAAAAACAGATCATATATTGCACCATAGTGGCAACCTGCTCTCCCCTTGACTAGTAAAATTGCCTAACATTAGACTGTAAAATAATACAGTAATACTACTAATACAGTAAGACACATTGCCACTTGAAGGGTTAATATATGTGTATTTATTAAATAGTAGAGAGCGAGATACTGAAAAACACACATTGAAATATTTTCCATATCTTCACTAGTGCATCAAGGTATCGATCGCATGACTTTTTCCAATTTCACAATTTTTTGCTTGGGACTATATAATAAACAGAACATTACATGGTGGCTTGAAGATATGACTTTTGTCTTCTCGTGTTAAAAACAATATTTTACTCACTTGCTGGGCTCGTTCGTAAAATATTGTTTTCACCACTCGAAGATAAAAATCATATCTTCATGCTGCTGTGTAATATCCTCTATATACATGAATATTATTTTTCATTTTCATGGTGTATAAAGATGTATGTAAATGTATCATGATAATAATGTCATCTTTTATTTTGCAGAAATTATCTGTTTAATGCAACACAAGAGATGGCACAGGCATCGACATACAGAACATCAAAATCAAGTTATAATTATAATACCATAACAACATAATAAATAATTATATGATTATAATAACTTTATTGAAGTGTAAATTTTTACAACAGAGCACAATCATGCTCCACTAAATTAGGAAGAATTAAAATTATACATTTTTTAATTGTTTACTGCTAGTTAATAGAGGCTATAAAAATGTCAAATACTGTACATCCTTCCAGAAAGTATGCCACTTTGACTATGAAGCCTCGTTTTTGTGTATTTGACATGTCTCAATCATGAAAATGAGACTCTACAGCCTATAACCAAGATGATGTACTTTCTGGAAGCATGTATTAATTAAAATACAGTTGTTTAAAATTAATCAATCTTTAATTGTATGTTCAGTTCAGGCACAGATTTTCTGGGGAGGTGCACCCCCCCCCCCCCAAGAGGCATTTGGCAATGCCCCTAAAAGTTTTTGCACCCCTGCAAATTATATATATTTTGATTTGATAGTTTCATATTTGATTATTCTTACTACTAAATTTGTAAAATTACCAATATTATGGTCTCCGATCTTGCCATGCAGGGGCCAGTTGTTCACTGAATGCTGGGTTAGTT